ATTTTAATGGTAAATCCAAACTGACACATCCTTGGGAGTATAAGTGCTATGATTGTTTGTGTTACGGTGTATGCTACATAGACTTGGTGTACAACGGGGGAAGGACTCATTCGTCTGTTTATTATAATTAATTTTACATTTTTATATTTATTCTTTGTAACGCAAGCATTGAGAATTTCGAACACGACTTTTTGTTGGAAGTAACAAGGATTTCAAACTTGGCAACTTGGAATCTTGGAAGCACCAGAAAGAAACGTTACATCATTAAAAAATTCAAATTTATTAAAATGACAAATATATACGCCATGATCCGTCCATCAGTCCTTGTCGGATTTGTTGATAAAACTTCATCATTACAACATTATTTCGCAGTACATCTACTCTGCGCTTAAGATAAGAATTTATTTCTTTGATATAAATCAAACACTATATAACAATAATAAGTATTTTCCGTAAAATGAAATTTTCATATAATCAACTTTGCCGCGTAAAAATTTAACTTTAAAAATATGGTGTTTGAAGAGAAAAATGTGTCTTTAAGAGAATTGAAAAGAGATGCAATTTGGCGGAAAAGCTTTTCCTTCTCTTTAAAAGAGATACTTGTACAATGAAAGTTGTGTCGGTAAGGTGGTAGGAGCACAGAGAAAAAACCGAAGCCAACTCTTTAGCAAGTTAAGGCAATGTAGCTTTTAAATATGCGAACGCTACAACAAATAAAATAATGACAATTTCATGCAAATGCACATTTATACATTTGCAGATAGCGAAGGCTGCTCAGTTCACCGCATGAAGTACTTCATGGCGCTACGCGTGGAGTTCCAAGGTTCGTGTACATTCGAATTCAAAACAAAATGAAACTGATTTCTTTGGGAATAAAGCGGGCTTAACGATGTTGTCATTATTTAACACGTAGAAGCGGTCGAATATGTGCGTTAAGTGAAGAATAAAATTCTACGCTAACTAATGATTTTCATCTGAAAATAAAATATTGAGGAATAAATAGACGAAAGTTATAAAAACAAAAAAAACTGACTTGAAATTGTTAAAGTGAACTTTAAATGGAAATGTTGTTAAGCATTTGTTACAATGGATTACATATCATAACCCCTATCATAACGGATATTTATAACTTCAGGTAAGATTGCTAAGCTTTGCATTCAGACACTGCTCGTAAAGATTCCGGTGCGTAAAATTTCGCCTATTTAATGCGATGCTATGTGAATCGAGAAGTGTGTGAGTATGCAGGATTATCGTTGTGCTAGCCAAGCTTAGAATGCTGAGAAAAAATGCGAAATAAAAAGAAAATAAACCCAAAACAAACGAAATCTTCAATAGATTGCCTTTAAACTAATTGACTTCCCTCACATTAATAGTAACTTCAATACGCTACAGAGTTTCTTGCTAGTTCTTTGCAAAAGTTGTGTTAATTGGTCTGGTACTTGATCTGCTAGCGATTAACCGTAAACTATCTGAGTTTAATATTAATATTAATATTCGCTGAGCGCATGCAGTTTTTTTATTTGATTTGTTTTCAGGGCATCTTAAGCTCAGGAAAGTTTAGCAACTTTCCGAAAGTTGAAACTTTAGTCATTAGGCATAGGCCGATGCAGTTAATTCAATCCACATATCCATCCATGACATGTCTTTTGTCTTTCAATGATATTTGACATATTGGATTTAACCTCCGTTTATAATTATAATCACAAAAGCATAGTTAGATAAATGAAGAAACATATATACTCGTACAGAGGCTTTCATTTATAAATGATGAAATGGCAATTTTATGTTTACAGCGTTTTATTCGTGAACACTCCGATAAAACATATTCCGTCGTTTTTCTGCTTCCATTGCAACTGAAAGAAGGATAACGTAATTGGAAAAGTTTACGAAACACCATATGTGTGTATTTTGGGGAGAAACTAAATGCTTTGGGCTTCAAAATATTGGCAAGTAGCTACATATGTTTCCAACAATGCTAAATAGTCTTTTTTCTTATATAGCATAAAAAGTTTCGCATTCAGAAGCACTTATGCGCGGTTGTGTACATATTGATATAACTTGTCTGCAACGAAGATTGACTGCTAACGAAACACGCTAACCTACGACCGTATAAGATTTGAACACAACTTTTAGGTACTTGCGTTCAAAATACTTCACGGGGCTTTCATTACATTCTCTCGTAGTAGTAGCGAATGGAAAAGGGAAACGGAAAACAGTAATTAAAACTTTTCGCATTCCACTAGGATTATAAGAAAACTGATAAATGCATGTAAGGGGCGAAAAACCACCAACGGCAAAATACTCAGTAATTTTCTAATATTTTTTTTCACTTCACTGCAGTCTATCACTTTTGCTTACTCTCCAATTCGATTTACAGTTGTAATAGCTATTAAGCATTTTCATATATAAGCATAGGCAAACTTCTTAGTAAATTCCTAACAACTCTTTCTTTTATGTTTATGCAACGTCCTTTATGACAAGTTTTGATTTTAAGCAGCGTTTAATGTAACAAATAAGAAAAAAATTCACTTAAAACATGGCTGCGTGCATGGCAATAAGGCGGTTGAGAATATTTCTATAGAAAGCAGTCACGTGAGTTTGGCTTTTCAGAAAAATATTTATTACACATCCAACTCCCATTTTCACATATATATATATATATATGTATATATACTCAAATGGGATAGACGAAGAGCTGTACTGATCAAAACTCAGTATCTTTCGGGCATTGAGATGGTCAAGGGGATCAACACAATATGAAAATTTGCCTGCATTGCGTTCTAATGAAATTTCTTATTTCATTAATCGGGCTGTGGTTGCATCCAAGTTCTGAACAATTACACATACATCCTCATTACTCTTAATTTATTTAGTTAAGCCTGTGCTTTGGATTTCACAATATCGCAACAATGTACATAGAATGCTTAAGGTTGGGTTCAATTGTCTTCAGTTTGGAACAGAAAGGAAAAACTAATATAAAGGAGAACAGGAAAAAAAAAAAACAATTGAAAATGTGTAGGAACAAGAACTAATTCGAAGAGAGGCTGGATAAATCCACTTCACTCACCCAAAAAATTAACGTAGACAACAATTCCGGTAATCCAACAATTAACGAAAATCTGTTCGAACGCAGAATGTGAGTGTTCGGCCTTTCATTTGAAGCTTGTGTGCTCTCCTTATTCCCGGAAGACTTGCAAAATATTGAAACAGAATAGTTTTTCGAATACTATGTAAATTTAATTTAAAAACCATTTGAAAGTTTTCCAAATTAAAGCTACCTTTCCACGTGAAATTTCATTAGTCGTCTATAAATGATGGACTCCATGTTATTTATAATAAATTCACAAAAATTTTAACGTTAATTTATATATATATATTTGTATATACATATTTATATTGATATAAAGTGGCATTTTTATCAGAGAATTAAGTCATCAGCAGCTGTCGTGTTAACTAACTGTAAATTTTAGATTAGCTGCGGAATTGACATTATGGTTATTGATCCAAGTGTATGTATGTGATTTGGTTCATTTCATTTTTGTTTATTCCGTTTTATTGCTTTCATGTATCAATCGTTTTTCTTTAATTGCGAATATAAATAAATAAATGAATTACTTCTCCAACGAATTGCAATGGCAATAAGCTACGAAAGGTGGAGAGATCAGAAAAGGGTTTTTCTTGGACACGTGATTCGATGCTTGGGCTTTGACAAACGTGCTTCAAGTTCTCCTAGCGTTTCTTTAGCTTAATTGTTTTTCTATTTTGAAAATAATGACTTACTTGTTCTTTGGAACAAAGCTACGAGTTGGTTGTAAGTGGATATTCCCCACATATTCTAGCAGGTCTTATTGGACTAGCGCGAAAGTTTTCTTCATATTATTTTCATATGTTCTCCCTCCTATCACTCACATATATATATGGCCGCACCATTTTTTTTGCCTCTTTTTCAGAGCAGGTACGCATGCAGTGCATAGCACAAGAGAGTTGAGTCAACATGCAAACGTTATTAATGGCGTAGTACGTTACGTGCTTTTCGCTGGGATTTCTCGAAGGATTTTGTGATACCTTGTACGCGAAGGTACATTTTCGCTACCAAATCGCAGGTTTGTTTTGGATATAATCTCTATGTGTGAGCGGTAGAATTGATGGGATGATTTTATACGACGAAATTAGAATTAAAGTAACCCGTCGCGTTACTTGCCATTTTCAGCGAATTGAACTGAAGCAATGTAAACCCAATTATAACCTATTTAATTTCTTTCGGGTTCTTTGCATTGATTTTAATAAAGTTTATTATTTCATTTAATGATAACGAAACTGAGGAATGCAATCAATCGACACCCACCCCCAAGTCTTTAATCTTGCAGGTATTTGATTCCCATTCCAAGGCTACGTTTGTGCCGTTTTAGAGCAACATTTCCATCCTATGCGCCTAACTGTGTATGACAAACGCGCACGTCATGATCCGTCCATCCATCTGTGTCGCCTCTGTTTATCATTATGAATATGTATTTGCCATAAAAACCCATTTTGGAGTGTGTGCATGTCATTTTGTCAAGCCGTTCCATTGCAACCTAATTTCCTATTACAAAGAGGTTAAAGGTTAAAGCCCTATCGACGTATACCTGATTCGATCTGTACAAGTGTTTTTTCTTCCTTTTATATATGTTTATCTACTTTTGCTTAATTTAATGTTTTCTTTTCCCGACTTTTTAAAGCAATTGTAGTCAGTCAGTCACCTTGAGTTTTACGTACAGTCGTTTCTTTCTGTAATATGTAAATAAATAAGGCTCTCATAAAATTTTATTGATAAAATTATCAGCAGAATTAACTATTAGAAAGCATGAGGAGAAAAAAAAGGAAAAGTAACGTAATCATAATAATAATATTTTATGTAATTAAATTAATAAATATGTTTCACTTTTTTTGTTTTCTTAATTATATTTACAGATAGCAAACATCAAATAATTGATTAAATAGATTTTTTAATAAAATTACGCTGTTATTGAAAAACAAATAAAAAATTAATTAAATAAAATTTACATCTATTATCTCTGCAAAGTCGACGCAAAGGGTTAACCAACAGGAAGCAATCGTATGTAAATAGAAATGCATTACGATTGTATGTGAAAAGGATAGAAACTCGAATCAATAATAATTACTTAGAGAAAGTGAAGAGTGTAAAATAAGCGTAACATTTTGCGTATGTTTGAACTTTTATTCAAAGTAACATTGTGTTCCCTGTGTCTGCGTTTTTGAGCGCACGACGACGAAAAGTTACTGCAACAACGATGAAAAGAAAAGAAAAATTAACTTTTCTTTGGCTTTTGGCGAAATTTCTATGGAAAGACAATCACACAAAGTTTATATAAAAAATAAATTACATTAATAATGAGGAACGTGAGTGAGTGTTTAATTAAGTGTAACGTGCAAATGTAAATAAATGAATGGTTTTTCGTTGAAATTACATAAGAAAGGATATATATCTGTCGCTCTGATATCAAGTGATAAATACGCTTCAAAGGACGGATTATGCTGCGGAAATGAATCTGTCTTTGGGTACGCGCACTGTCTTAATTATTTGTTACTTCGTTCAGGGTAAGTGCTTGATGTTATTACTCAATCCGTAAGCCTCCAGTTGTTTTCTTGCTATTATAAAGCGTTCCGATTTTGTTTTGTTTTATATTTTTTTATCGCAGTTTTAACTTTCACTATAAAGGATTTATTTACGACATATCGGCCCGCTTCTTGAAATTACGTTTACAGTCTTAAAATTTCATTAAAAAGAACTTTTTTATTTTACAACATTTTCGTCAAGTGTGACAGCGACAAAACTCGGTCCGGTGTATTTGACCTAACAATATATTTTAGAAAATGTATTTGTCGTTGTGCCCACTGCTTATACTCTGCGTTTGACGAGTTTAAGAGTATTTCCCTAAAGAGGTCAATGCAGTTGACTGGTTAAAATAACTGTTATGATTAAATAGCTCCAACCATTCGCATGTGTAGAGCATCTGAAGCACTTCGCTCTGCATCCTAAAAGAGATGGTTTTCGAAAACCATAAGTAAAAGAATCACATACGCTTATTATTTCTGTGAAATAAGAAGAAGATGAAGAGACAGACACAAATGCATGAATGAACTTAATTTTATTTAGAGTAAGGTACAGCGCGATCGACATATAATACTTTTGTGTTATCGTATATGTGTGATAAACTCAACATGTTATTTAAAATGATTAATAACACACACAACATAGGCATAACTACCTACGGACACAGTAATATTTCTAATAAATAAAAATCGTTTTAATGAATTCACCTAAAATTAGCAGTTGAATGGAATAAAAATAAATATCTATACTTTTTGCGCATTATAAAATTAAATATGTTCATTTTAATGTATAGCTAAGCAGCAGTTAAGTGGACTTTAGTGGTTTCTAAAATAATTTTTGCATTCATTTCGAAGAGAAAAGCACCACATGAAATAGTTTTTTTTTTCAGATTTAATGACCACATTGAATATAATATAAAGTGGATAATTGGTTAAGAATCCTGCCACTGTGACCTAAATATTTGCCCTAGAAGGGGGTTTTGCCTTATTTCAATTATTACTTTATCTTAAATAAATTGAAATTTTTGAAAGATACGATTGCGAACAAGCTTAACTATACCAAGCCGACGAGTTTTAGCTCTTTGAATAGAATTTAAATTCATAGCCATTAAGTATTTTGTTGCTATCATCAAGAGCAAGATAAAGCATAGAACATAAAAAACAAGTAAAAGTTTAGAATACCAGCAGCGAAAGCGAACGGGGAAAACCGTATGAAAGAGTGCTAAGTAAGCATGTGGCCGTATTTTGCATGAAACAAAGGCGTCTTCCAGACACAACATTCAATTACGAGTTGTGGCCTGGAATTTTGTAATAATTTTATTTGAAACCATTGCCAACAATTTGCAAACGGACGAAGAAAAGATTCTTTTCAACCGAATCCTTTGCTGCTGATAATATACGAAATTATTATTGAATGCATTTCCTGCTTTGGACATTAGAAAGAAGAAAATATTTCAAATTTCTTATTTGCTAACAATACACATTGTGTTGCAAAGTAAAATTTTTATATTGGTTTTGCAGAAAGTTAAATATGCGACACATTTTTCTATACATGTATGCAAAATAAAATGAATAAAACCATGTTATGGCTTAAATTCGAGATTTTGATGAGGAATTCTATTATTGTAAGAAAAATATCGGATTCTCATATCATGTGAGGTGTATTGGCAGTTAAAATCACAAGGGATGATATATTCAGATGGGCTGCATTTTCCATATGTTAAAAATCGATCTCCCAAATATTCTGTCAGGCTAAGTAGTCGCATAAATCGCTTGTGTATATGTCTTCTAGACGAATCTAATGGGTTAAGATACAATAGAGATGTCTTACAATCTTCTCTACACCAAGAACAGTTCCTCGATTAATTAACAATTACTCTGATTAAACGTCAGTTGCTCAGAGTCATTAAACTAATTTACGACTTAAAGTTTTATGTAAAACTTCTTCAATCTGCAAACGTCTATTTACAAGGACTACTGCGCTTAACTTTTCATTTGTGAATGATAAAATTTTCCACATGTTTTAAGCTGCTCTGACCCCTTGGCAATGATATAAGCAAACTTTTATCTCACAGAAGACTCCCGCAAAGTTATTCTAAAGTCGATTTCTTGAGCTTTAAGTACTCATTTCGATTGGCGAACATTGTTTCTTTTTGGTGGAATTCTAAAGATTCCCCTAAGTTGCTTCGATCTTTTCGTGACACAACTAGATTAGCTTTCCAATCAATTTTTTGCAAAAAATATTTTCGTGTCCATATTCGCGCTTAAACGATTACTATTTGGTAAATTGTTTAACAACATTGTTAATAGCCGATCTACTTGTCGATAATTGAATCGGAATTTAAAGAAGAAATTTAAAAGAAAATTGAAAACTTCATGAACTTCACTCACTAAAATGCGTATTACTTTTTCCAGGCTTCGTTGCTTTGCGGCTTTTGAAAGTATCAATACCCTCCTATAAATTGAGGGGTGAATCTGTATTTCTTGAATGTCAATACGAGTTGGATAAAGTAAGAGACATGTCTTTAATAAACTCATACAGCCCTAATCGTGATAATGAACCCGATAATTCCCGAGATGACGGATGGACAGTGCATAGGCGAATGCGTGTTTATCAAAGTCAAGCAAATTCACATCTGCAACGTCATCGACGGCAAACATACTATCAGTCACAATCACCTAACCAGCAAAAGAAATACGAACAAGAGCGAGAACAAAATCAGAATTTATATATGCAACAGCACCCGTCATATTATGCAGAAAAAAATGAGCAACGAAAACTATATCACCGCCAGCAGCCTCAGCCAGAACTAACGCCCAGCGAGCAACTATATACATATCCTTATCAAACACCAACTTCACCATATGGGCATAGCATATATCGGGGGAGAAGCTCAACATCCGTGCATGATGTTGTCGGAGTTAATTTATACAATACTAACACATATAGAGGATGGGGTGAAAGCAGTCGCAGCGTAAGCAGTTTCGGACAAATGGAACGCGATAACAGTTTTGCCGATAGCACTGAACATGACGATGAAGAAGACAAGGAAGAAGACAACGAAGAGGAAGAAGGCGAAGCTTTGTACGCCATAAAATGGTACAAAGATAACGAAGAATTCTATCGTTATGTGCCAAAGGCCAAACCACCAAAAACTAGCTATAGAGTGGATGGTGTGCGGGTGATTGTAAGTACACATCTCAATGCAATGCAGCATAAAATATTCATTATCGCATATCCACATATACATATATAAAGCAAACAAATTTAGACGGCATAGAGAGCATCGAGCCGAGGACTTGGGGTTTTTGTTTTTTTGAACTGCTGTGACACGTGCTACTTAATGTAATTTTAAAAGTTTACCGAAAGTTTTTTTGCTATGAATTCCTTGTCCGCGCCACAACGTTTCACTTCACTTTCTTCGGTAAGCGTCGTTAAAATATTGTAGATAAAATGCTTACCAAACAGTTTTATTTCGTAATTAAATGAAATCACCAACGTATTGGCTGCAGGATTGAAAACGTCATCAAGAAGTTCTACAGTCATAGTATACTTATTTGAAATGAAATTAAGTAGGGATCATACCCAGATGATAAGCTTATTAAAATGTCAAAACGTTCAACAATCTTTTTTTTTTATTTTGTCTTTTTTACATACTTAGGAAGAACATTCAGACAGTAGCAGAGTATTGCTGAGAGGCTTAACAATAAATTCGACGGGACTATATCGTTGCGAAATTTCAGCGGAAGCTCCGAATTTTTCATCTGTCGAAGCCGAGGGGCATATGGACGTCGTCTGTAAGTTTCTGAAAAGTTTTGCTCATTACGCGTAAAGATAACAATGTAATTAATGGAAAAATCTCACAACTCTTTACCTTCAACAAAAATAAGACGTTTCTCCGGAACTCACTTTTTCGCGAATTATAATAGCCTAAGTTCATTTTTAAAGTCACGTGAAATTTCATGATGATCACATATATATTTTTAGAAGTAGAAAGGCGGTCTCATTCAATTTTTTCAAAATGCGTTTATCTGTTTGACCAATGGTTAGTGCAATAATAATAAAAATTTTTTTTTGAAGATCTCATAATAAAAATTAAAAATTTAAAATTTTCCAAAATTTTTAGTTTATTCTGAACTGTTTCAAATATATATCTATTCTTACGACAGATCAAAAAAAATAGAATTTAATTTGAAAGCCTTCGCATGCAAGGTTGCCTTTTTTCTTTTCGCAGATAGCTTCGATAAAGATCTCAACACCAAAGCAAAAAGTATTTTATATTTGCTACTTTCGTGTGCTCCCTTATCAAATACGTGTCAAAATGAGAGAAAATAAATCATTGATTATGCCAGGCGGGAAATGTTAAGTCTGTAAAACTCTGATCACACGTACACAAAGGTGTTGAGGCATCTGTTGTAAAAGATGTACTCTGCATCAGCATTTCCGAAGCGAGTTCATCTTCCTACCGTAAACCTGCAAGATGGCAAATTTGTCGACAATTTGAATAAAACTTGGTTTGACTGGTATCGTCAAAGGAGTAGCCTCTTGAGCTTTTGTGAGAGACTTTGTCTCCTTTCCAGGCTAAAATCACGATTTTATAGAATGCGATTTCATTCGGTTAATTTCACAAAATAAACTTCAAACTCAAGAAGCTTCTGCTTCGGCCACAGGGATAAATGTACGCAGTTCATTTTGTAGAGCATCCCATGAGTATTAAAATATTCGCTTTGAATCGAGTCAGATTGCTTTTCAATTCACGCTAGCCACATTGCGTTTGGTCTTTGGTAAATCTAATGTTTCAAAAGATGCGCAATAGGTACGTATGTATCGTAAATACCTCAGAAAAGAAAGCATGACATCTTTCCACAGATTATGCATTCATCATAAGCTTCATTCGCAGTTTTACTCAAAGATAACAAATGCGGGCATAATTAGGCGCATGAGCTTAATCCATTCAACAAATTATTCTCGTGTGCTTTACTTCGTAATGCTTTATTAAAAGCTTCATAAGTATCGAAGTATTAGATATAAAGTGTGCACATTCGTGATCAGCGTAATAATTTTAACAAATTTACATTTGTCCGTCTATCCTCTTGGGCTGCTGTTTGTGGGTTAATGATCGGGGTCGAAAAAGTTTAGATAGAAAGCTGCATTTTGGTATAGGAAAACTTATGAAAGATTCATACTCGCTGTACTTGTAATTGCCCTTTGAAAGGTGAGAGTAAACAAATGATTTTGTTGTCGTCCAACTAGCACCTGTCCGTTACAACTTCAATGCTTATGTACCATTATAATATTCGTGTAATATTAAATTGTTTCTTAAATTTAACAAAATAAAGTTGCCTAAGAGTATAGGGCATTTTCAATTCCTAAACGATTTGGAAAGCTCCCCACAATTCCGAAAATATACAGTTTTTCCCTTAACATGTGAAATTTGTTTACGTATGGAGTACTTGTAATAAATCGAACCGAACCAACAAGTTGCTAAGCTATCGCTAAAGGGATTTCTGCATTCATTGCACTCTATTAGGACGAGCGATACTAGCTTCAGTTGCAATTTAATAGTCAGCCACTTCTAATCCGCCTACGAGTTTTTCGCAACCTAGCATACATGAGCGACTAAAATGAATACATGAATATTAGTTTTGCATAATAATAGTTGGCTAATTAAAAGAAAATACATAGTTTAAAAATATTCCAGTGCTTATGTCCATTATTTTTGGTGATGGAAAATAATTGCTTCTTGATTTTCAAATTACAGATCTTCCACGGGATGGTCCTTACATTAGGGGGCAACAATCCCAATATCAAATTGGAGAAATACTAGATTTAAACTGTACATCAGGGAAATCACATCCTGCCTCACATTTACAATGGTTTATAAACGACGAAGCGGTAAGTGCTAAACATTCCCAAGGTATGCGAAAGGCGCAAAAATGGTGTATTAGTGTAGCGAAGTTTCCCACGATCCTCCAGCTCTTGTTTTTGTAAATTAGGATATAAACAAGAACACTTTCAATCTTTCAAATTTTCGAAAGTTTCCATTTATGGACGCTTTTCCTATTTCGATTAAATTAAATGGTCACCTCAGTTAAGCTTCAAATTTTGAATTGAAAATCAAATTTTACTTTCCGTAACTTACTTTCTGTTGCCAGGCAAAGTTACCAAGCGTAGGAAAACTATTGTAATAAACTCCATTCCATGGTACATTCTCATGAGAGTTAAGTACTAAATGCTTAGTTTTTATAAAAATTGCCACAAATTAATAGAAGTGATTGCTTCATTTAACTACACATTTCAAATTAAGTGATCCTTAGAAGAAAATATTACCAAAATGATTGCAGAGTTGAGCACATAGGCCATCTCCTTATGTTGTTCTTTTCATTTCAGAATGGCAGCAAAGTGCATGTGAATGTACAGTTGGTTTTGCTGATGAAAGGTCATTGATATCATAAGGAGATAGGTGGGGAGTATCAGATATCGAATACACACAAACATTTATTGTGTCTGTACTCCTGAAACTTTTTATAACGTACTTTATGTCTTATAGTTTCACTTGATTGTTTCATAAGTAGACGGAGCGTTACGTTTACATAAAGCAGTTTTTAGTTTTCGATATGCTTTTCAATATTTTCATTTAATTTTGATTATCAATTTCCCTATTTCGTGACACTTGCAAAATATATCTTAGAAAAACTGCTATGCTTGCTCACCAGGCAACCGTAAAAGTGTAATACATACATCAGTTGAAAGTGTGTACGCGCGTGTGTGAAATCAAAGTATTTGTATTATTTCTGATTTATAAAACTGGTTTACTAGGCGAATGAGTTCTTTGCGATTTAATATTTAATTGTTTATCATACGACCAGTTAATGCACAAAATTAAAGAATTCTTAAAAAGTCGTTTTTGGTTTTTTTTCTGCTTAGCTACTGCAGAGAGATCATGGATGTGTTATTGTTCCTTTTCCTTTAGTTTGCAAAGATAATATCTACCCACCGAAAATTCTACTACAAATCCAAAACTATGCTTACATACTATCAGTGTTAACTGATTTCCGGAGGTAATTAATTTAGGTGAAGCTATGAAGTAGTGAGCAATTCGTTTCAAGTCAAATGGATTTGAAATCTTTCTTATAGGAGATCACGTTTTCTTTTGTTGAATATTTGCTAATAGATTTCTTTATACAGATATGTGCAGAGAAAATCGTTGAAGTTTTATTATTGCCACGATTTATTGTCTCGTCTTTGTGTATTTATGAATGTCGTTACGATTCGCTGTAAATGAAAATGCTTTATACCTGATATGTATACAACTCAAAACGTAACAATAAGCAGAATGCAATCAGACATGCTGTTGGTTTGTCTCGGTTTGATATTAATCAACTTCTTCCACACATATCCATACATATTATGTAAGTGTCCTACTGTGCGTTAGAGACGTAAATGAATTCATATCGTTTCATGTAGGTTGAATAAACATTTTGTGCTTTTACTATTATGTAGCTATTGGCCCTCATCATTGTGCTCGTCTTCCGATTGTTTTGATGACAATCAGGTGATTCTTGTAATTGTGAAATTGTGGCTTTAGCAAACATTATATGTAATGCATAAATATTATCCATGAACTCAAGGTGCATTTTTTAGCTTGATTGCGTTCAACTAATAATCTAAGCTAATGTGCTTACGATTTTTGAATAAATGCCAAAGAATTAATTTAATTTCAATTCACCCTTAATTATTGCTATGCCCTTACTCTTTGTGACATTCAAATTCATTTCAAAACTATCGACGAACAGTCTTAAGAAAAGCGCACGGCGCCAAATACTTTCGAGAAAACAAAATTAGTATAAAAGAAGTACAAGAATTATAGTGAGCCACCGCCAACCATTAAATTTTCTACATCACCTTGCAGTTATTTATATAACAGCTTTTCAAAACAAGGCGTCGTATGGAAGGCGTTCGAAGCTTGGGTGGATAGATAGGCTTAAATCGATTTAAAAACTTATTCGAAAAGTGTGTCTATCCCGAGCCCTTCCATGTTCATGTATCAAAAGCGCTGTAGGGAGGCGGAAGATATGGATTATTACGAATGGTTCAATATGAATTTTGTAGGAAACCCAGATGTGATAATAAATATGCAATAAGTTTCTCTTACCGTTCGCGAGCTATTCAAAGGTTTTATTATCTGAATTTCTGCTTCACCTTCGCATGCCCGTAAGAGTGCGTTTAATCACTGAGGAGAAGATTTTCTGAAAATCACCTTAAAAGCAATATAGTTCTCCTACCTGATTGAAGCTTCTTGCTTTTAAACAATGCTATTATCTCGAAATTCGAAAGCGTACCTTTTCGTGTTTACCTTACCGGTTTGGTAAGTTTCTACTGTTGTTGTTCTTCTTCTTCTCCTATTTTTTCTTTTTCTTCTTCTGTTATTCAGCAAACCAACAACTGTTATTATTTAGATTTGCTTGAACAATTCCTCAGAGAAGCCATTTGTATCCTTAATGACAGTTGTCTAAAGTAAATAATTTAAGCAGCAGAAAAAAAAAAAGAAATAAAACATAGGGGAAAAGGAAAAAGAAGGAAAAGATATGAAAAAATGTAAAACAATGAAATTCCCAACGAACTGTTTAAAAGTTAAATGTTTAGTATGGAATTTGAAGTAACCTGATGCTATTTATATTTTTCAATTTTTAAAACAAAAAAAGTTGTTTACAAAGTTGTTTACAAAGTAAGAGAAAATTATTTATAGTTAAGAAAACAGAACGAGCTCAGAACGCGATTTAATATACCATTAGGATGGGCACTGTTCGTCTTTGTCGACTTGTAATATGACACATTTAAGGTGCATGCCGAGTTATTATTAAATGCGAAAAAAAAGAAAATTCCAAGAATATTGAAATATTCCAGTAAATATGGGCATGTGGGCAGTGCAGCCGTGTTCTTTGAAACGTTTAGGTCAATTTCAAATTCTTTCGCAAATTCTTAGGCGATCTCTTCACTTTCGCTAACGGGAGAATGTTTGCCGCAAATACTGCAAAGTTACGCAAACAGACAGATGGACAGGCGAACAGGCGAACAGGCAGACATGTTTAGATGCATTTAATGTAATGTTGTAACTGGCCAAGAATTTGTATATTTTATGGAGTTTTCGCAGCTTGCTTCTGCGTGTTATAAAGGTATTGAAAAACGTATTGACCTTCCCTGCTTCGGTGATGGACGTAAGAAGAAAGAAATCGTTTGCAAGTTCACCACTAACTGAAACTGTCAGCACTTGTCGAGAATACAAAAGCCGACAAAATATTAACAAGAATTCTTGATGATTCTCTGCTCGTGTCGTATTTATATATTTATATGATATAATGGGTGCGCAAATAAAAGAAAATCTATTTTATTATGCGCTTCAGTGATACTTAAAAACACTTTCAAGTGTTTAAACGTTTAAATATTTCGTATCCAAATAAGTGCAAAACAAGCGATGTAAGCAGAGAGACTGCAGACTGTTGCGTTAATGCTCTAGATGTATGTAAAATTTCCACTAGAAGCACCTAAAAGCATTTTGTTAGAAACATTCGTGCATATGTACATATACGATTTGCGTTGTGTTGAGAATGTAAACCTGATGCGACACATAAACGTAAAGGTACTTATTTTGCACTTAATATTTTTTTGCCTTGAAAATTGTATTGTGGAGTGAATAATCAAAGGGTTTTCTTCACGCAGCATTTCCACACTCTTGCATATAAATGCACTTATGCACTTTAACAGATGTCGAGGTAAGAATGAATACATAAGTAAGTACGATAAGTTTTGAGGCGAATCCGGGATACTCAACAGTTTAACTAAATGTACAGTGCTTTGCACTTTACGCTTTCCCTGCTGTTATTGGACTTATCACATACATGAGGTACGCCTACTTTCACTAAGAAGCAATTTTTTTTTGTAGAAGCTTGATGCGATGCGCTCAACGTATTCGTATGAGTTTTATAAAAGCTACGGACAAAGATATATTTTCCATGTAAGGAGCCATCATCATAATATTCACTTTTGCCATTAATTAGAGGTTATTGATGAAATACATATTAAAATTCTTCGTCATTGTTGCATTCCTTTTGTTTTGCGATTTTTGCGAGTGACTTTGTGCGCAGATTGAACTCATCTTCTCGCTTCGTTAAATGTTCCAAAAAAACAGTCGTATGTAGGCCAAGTTTTGGATTTCTTCCTAAATGCGTAGGATCGAATCGATACATGATAGTTTCACGAATGTTCCCTAGGACTCGCAAAATAATAACCAATGATTAGTTTCTCTTCATTTAAACGGTGACTACACAGACGGATATGGTTAGATTGATTCGGAATTTTTCTATAATCATTGACGCCTCTTAGGTACATTTCCAGGTGTTACAAACGGAATCATAAATTTGGTGTACCGACACCATTTCGATTATTGATAAAAAAATACAATGTCACTGCTGAAGATATCATTAATTCTCTTAAAAGAACGTGCATTTGCATGCTTGTCAAGTAGCGCATGTCGATGATGATAGCATGAGATTTTAAAATCATTCTCTACGAAACTTTATAGAAATACACTGACTTTATAGAATAAATGACGTAATGGCATCAATTTGTTCAAGCGAACCGCTTTTAGAAAGAAGCACATAAAAGAAATCAGTCGCCAGTTGTGCTCAAAGTAAAACTTATCCCAACCCGGCCTGAATCAATGTTGAATAAATTTCATATACTCTTACATATACATGACATTGTCGACATATATTAGAATATATATGTAGGCTGTTTGAGGGCTTCGATGAATAAAAAGCCACATCTATGGATAGATGTAGAAGAAAGTAGGTAAGTATTTATGTTTATGAGTATTGCCGACGATTTCAAATCAGTTTTCCAAAATACTTTCTAAAGTATTAAGATTAAGAGTATTTTTAGTATTTGACCAATCCATTTCGCTGTCCGGCCCGTTTTCCCTGAAAAGGCACTTTTCGCACCAATTAATAGTAGCTTTAGATAAATTTCCCTCATGCAGTTATCTATTCCTTTTATTGTTTTGCTTAAAAACTGCTACAAATATGAATAATTGAAACTGACTCATTCATTTATTATTAAAATGGACGCCAACAATTTAGTATGAATTGAAAACTGTCTTCTAATTGAATTTTTTTTTTTTTACTTCCATAACTTCCCTTTAAAAGTGTCAGTTTATTTTAATTTTTATAGAAATTAATATAAAAATACATGGAATCATTTTTTTTTATCCTTTTCACTATACAGCAAAAACTATCGAGATTTTAAAATGTTGTATATATAACTTAACTACAGGCTTTATATTGTAGCCATAAACTAATTTAATGGAAACATTGAGTGTTTTTTTGTTTTCAAGCAAAAATAACTTTAAAACTACCTTTCCGTCCGAACACGCATTTGCTTCACAATTTTCCCGTTCGTTCCCGTTTCTGATTCTGTCAAAAGCTTGGTTCACACAAAAGCTGCTTATATTTCATATCGCTACTCAAATATACGTTATCTTCTGCCTGAGACTAAAATAGTCTTAAGCAGCGGATAAACAGTTATTATTGGCGACACTTTCAAAAATTTGAAAGAATTCTTGGTTGGAAGAAGTGACTGCACTGACAATAGAAACCTGATTGAATAATTTTTAGTTACCTTACACGCTCACAATGAAAACTTTATCTTTTGATTTCGTCCCCTTTTTTATCTGTGTAATTTATAAAGAACTCGTACTTTACTGAATACGCGATAATAAGCATAAAAATAAGTTCTCCATGTAGCGTTAAAATTACGGTTAATGCAATTCTTTGCAAAAGTGGTTTTATGCTATTCTTCAAAAAACTACTCATATATACGATCGCTTATATCTTGTTTTTTTTGTGTTATTTTTTGTGTTTGCACAGGTTGTTGAAAAACTTAATTTAATCAAATACAACGACACGATTCATCGTCATGGCCTCATAACGACAACACTAGGCCTAGAGAAGATGGTTGAAGCGGGGAATTTCCACAAGGGAGCTATGCGAGTGAAATGTGTTGCCAGTTTGTCGCCGGTACTATGGAAAGGCGACAAAGAAAGTGTTTTGCAACGTCGACGACCAGGCTTAATTGACAATCGAGAAGCCATGTTGTTAGGTAAGAAAATTGTAGCGACTCCTGTTTGCGTATGTAAGCAGAATTTCTTTGATTTATATTTATTTGCAAATGTGCTTAGAGAAAGGGAGAATAGTGCGCACACAGATGCGAGCGGATGTTTGATTTGCTATTATACAGAACGTTATACCCTCATTGAACAGTTGACATCCACTTTCCGTTGGTGTTGAACACAAAAACATGATCAAAGGAAACAAATAAGACAATTAAAATTGGTCGAGACCAACGCTTTTCTACCCATCACCGTTTACTCCAAAAACAGACATAATAAATAAAAAAACAACATTCCTATGCTTTATAATAAGGGGCGGGCGCAGTTGATTTCCTCTGTTTTCAAAATAAATGCTTTTGTCGTAGAAGCATGTGGGCGACGTGGGCGACGTGGGCGTTTCCTTTGAAAAGTTTACATAGACGCCCAGACGGACAGACGGCTTAAATCAATTTGGAATTTATATCTTTTGTGGGATCAGTGATTCCTCCTTCTGGGCGTTGCAAACGTTCGACCACACACTTCACAGGCGAGTTTCTATTCCACTCTCCTCACTTCTTGCTTGGAAGTGTAAAAGGACATGCCCTGGCAGCCAGCACAAAATGAATTTCAGATATATATGCACTATGCCTTACATAACCTAATTTAAAAACTGCGACCACATTCTTCGGTCGGTTTTGAATTTTCCATTTACGTTTTGGAAAGGGAGAATTTAACCTTCCAGTATCAGGGAAAATTATGAGTAATTAAAGAACACTTTTTCCGATAAGTTTAAGAAAACATAATTATAGAGGTTCCTTTTTATTATTATTATTATTATTATTATTATTATTATTGTCAAGTTAGCCAGAGAAATAAATTGCAAGACTTAAGTACACCTTACTTGAGATTGAAATACGCGATCATTGAATTGTTAGTCGAGGTATGACATGATAATTTTGATTTCAATCCTCATGACCTTCGAATTGATTATATATTCGGCTTACTCAATGATAAGGAAAATATATATGTAAACGTATTTTATAAATTTTAAAAACTTTTATCGATTCATTTCTTTTTCGATATTTCTCGACTTTGTTTACAGTTCACAGTTCAGCGCCAAAGCGTAATAAAATCGATGGTTCGCTGGCACTATTTGTTGTTTTGACTATAACGGTATTTCCAAGAGAATTTCATCGACTATCGCTGCTGCTTACTATATTATAATGAATTCGAACGCATTTCTGAAATGTATATAAATGATTTACATTATACATCGTGAAATATCTATGATACTCTTGCTTATGTCAAGTAAGCGATATCGAAAATCTCTCATTTAAGCTGAGAAAGTGATCTATATGTTAATTAAAAACCAAAGATTTTTACAATTATTAAAATAACTTTTCAAACATAAGGATATGAACAAAAATAGCATAACGACGAGTAACTTATACATGTTTAAACAAATATAATGTTAAAAGATTTAGTTAATATTTTCTTCGAACGCGGATTTAATTCAATAGAACTTCTTTTGGAGTGGACTTTGCTCTAAGGTCTAAACAGTGGGTGAAAGTATAAGAAAAATTTCATAGTTTATAATATCGAAAATCTCGATCCTAAACACTGCCTAATTTTTTTTTAATGGATATCAATAATCCCCTTTTAAAAATGTCTAACCGTGAAAGCGGTTGGATGTAGGTTGTATTCCATTGAAAAATATCAAAAATTGTATAAATACGCCTATTTATATATAGTGGCAGCCTGTAATAATATATTTTAGAAGATTTGATCAAATCTGTACAAATTTAAGTTTCAGCTGTGCAGCTAAATATTTCGTCTCTAATCAGTTTTCAGCATACACATGCAGCTTCTTTTCTCTATTTTTGTTTTTCTAAAGGAGCAGCTCATAAAACTGGGTCTCGATAGTGCATCCTTCTGGTGACTCTTATTTTTTAGGAAGGTGCTTACCAGCTCGTTTTATAACCACATATGAGCATTCCGTCAATTGGTTGGCATGTTACGTAGTCTAACTTTTTCCAAAGGCATTCTAAGTCAGAAAGTTGCAATCATGAAGAAAGCCCGCTTCATGAGAATAGCTCATAACCGATACATTCGGATTATCGCTGCTCGCGTATGGTGATGGTATGATCTTCATTTTTTGTGCCTGTCTGCGCTCAAGCGGGATGACGAAATCTTACAATAAGGATAGGGAAACCTAGTCCTATTGTAATATGTGGCATTAATTGGCTATCATGGATATAAAAATATGTTTTTAAAATATCACATAACATATAGGACGTCAACAAGAGGCATAATCCTTAGGTAAAACCTTAGGCATCCGATTTGCAAATGCGAGTCGTTGCCCAGTACATACCAACGATCAGCAATTAGTATATCGCCCATGTGCACGTAAACAGTGTAACACTTTCATGCATTACTTTTAACTTTTCTGTTATATATATATATAGATATATATATATATATAATATTAGATTAAGTTAGGCAAGTAAGCGTTGCTTAATTGCTGGGCAAATAAATGCATTTATAGTTACGTAAGATGAAACCATGTCAAATAATATAAGATGTATATCAGTAATTTTGGTAATTTATGAACCTATGTGTATATCATCCCTTATACAAGATGCCTATGAAGTATCTTTATTATATATATATACAAAAAAAAGACCATTTATAGAGAAAAACATACTTGTTGTAAAATTAAAAAAATTGAGTAAAAAATAAAACTTAAACGTAAGCGAAATAAAGTGTTTTTTTCGTTACATTTTATTGGAAAGGGCACTAAAGAAGAAGAAAGCTAAGTGGCATTCTGAGGAAATATTTATGGTAAGTTTTCTGTAATTAAAAGCGAGTTGTTCGGGATCATTTTTATATGAAGTTTTTCAATGACTTTCGGACCGATATCCGTTGCTAGCCAAACGATATTGAGCAAAGCAAATTCTTTCTGAAGCAAACATCGATTTTTAATGCTTTCGAATATATCTGAAGAATTGTATACATTTGACATATCTTCTATGTATTAGGATATAAAAAGTTGTATTTATTTGAACTGATAAACATTTTGTTACATACATCTATTGTTCAGTGGCTCACTTAACACCTTTGCAGCTCGCACATTAGGTTGTCTTTTGCACTCAATTATGTCATATGTACGGTCATAATAATTAGCTCTCTGGTTATGTTAACTCACTTTCATTTTTGCCCGCCTAAGTCCAAGAGTTTTTCCAGCTTCGACCGTGTCGAAGATATATATTCTTAATATCCGTTCCATTCGTTCTTATGGCTTTATGAGTTGTCCTTCCTAGCTCGACATTAACACCCTGTGCTCCTTTCTCGCAGCTAAGCTGATATAAAAGGGTGCGGCTGTTAGTAGCTTACCAGATTTGTATTAATTGGAATAGGTTCGTTTCATTTAATTATGCTTCACGCAAGCATTACGTTCTCCTCAGTTATTGCAACCTGCAGCTTGCAAAATATTTACCTTTTTTATCAAGAGGTGCTTTTCATAAATCGTGACAAAAATGCGCGATTTTCTACTGTGTAAAGTTAGTATAATTCTTAGTAGTAATACTCAAAGTTTTAACGCCTTTGAAATCTTTGGAAGTTTTCGATTCGTATCCTTACGTACTTACGTACGGAGATAACGTTTCATGCCTATTTCAAAACTTTTTTTTTCCCGTTACTGTGTAAAAGTCACTATTGACTCCTTAGGTACCTCTCTCTGATATTTATAGGATTTTTCATAAAAGTTGCTTAATAAAGACGAAATGAAATGAATTGAAGCAAAATCTTATGCAAAACTCTGTGTAGAGCATGATAATTAAAATGTTTTTTAATTCTTCGGCATACATTTCAGCAAAATATTGCGTGCATCATTGCGAGCAAGAAATATAATTATGAATATTTTAATATTCACACAATTTGCTTCTTTTTGTATTTTCCCTCCAATTCTGCGAAAGCAACTCAAACTAGATGTTGGCATTGACACATTAAATCACGCTACCTTATAAAAATACCTGTTCAGTGTTCAATCACATACGCAAAAAAAAAAAGACACAAAAGCCTTGTGCCTAGGCGAACCTATAGACATGCTTGCTGGTCGAACTATGTTTCCCTATAAAATAGTAGTTGCAGAAATCGCCGTTTTGTTGGTAAAAAGCAGAAGGACAGTTACAGCTACCGCGTCGCCACTATATGTTAATGTACGTATCTTACGTATCCCGCGTGACATGTACAAAAATATTAATAAATTTTATTGGGGTCACTTTCTTAACAGTGACTACGGTGACGAAATATTTGCCTTCAGAAGAAATAAAATTGGCGTCAAAAATATTTATATCTTATATCACCATATCTTTTCTCTTTCCTTTATGGCGTACGTGTTTTACAATAATTTGTCTTAAAGCTTTGCACGATACTTTTCGTGTGTAATATAACGTCAAAGTCAGGCAAGAAACAGAGATATGGTGAGGTGAAATTTTGGAGCCGGTCTGAGAGTCTTGTTTAATCAGGCACGTTTGAAAATCTCATCACATTAAATGTTGTTGTTTTCGCTAAATTCGCGACAAATAGGAGTTTTTGCTTTCTTCAAAGAATTTTTGGTATTTACTTACTTGTTTCCCATTCGTTTTATTAGCCACCGTGAATGCGCTCCTAACAGGATTTAGTCCTGATGAAAGTGATAAATACAGTCACTTACTACTAACACGGTAAAGTTATCGTATCGAAAATGATTTGAAATAATAATTAGGTCAATAAAAGACGAACTTGTTCAAAGCCAAAATCCTGCAGAACATACTTTGAAATAACTTAACAAATCGGCTCTGGGTAGAAATTTCTTTAATGTAAAACACGTAAGTGTTTTAAGATATTTGAGCATTTCTTAAAAAAGTCATTCAAGTCATTCATTATCAAAGTCAGTCGTTATCAGCAGTTAAGCTCAATAGATCAAATGAAGATATCTTGGGATATTCAGTACTTAATTTAGCGAATAAAATGTGAAAAACATTTCGAAAACTATGTGTGTAGTGTCTAGTGTACAACAATTTCCTTTAGTGATTTACGCCTCGTTTTACATAAATGTTGCGGGCAAGTAAAATATTTCCAAGATATTTTTAATCATGCCGTTCCTTACTTTCGCCATTGATTCGAAAAAAAGGAAAAAACAAAATAAATAATTAAATGCACATATCTATTTGATAAGGAATGCAATGGCGTATAAAGCTTATGCCTTTAGGCAAAAGAACGCATGCAAAAAAGTAATTTTTCATTTTGGTCTAACCATCAGGAGTACAAATGAATCAAACTGATGCGTAAAGTTATAAAGAATTTCATTCACGCTACTACTCCACGTGCATTCATTGGAATTTTTACCCTTTTTATTGTAACATAATCAAGACTTAAATACATGTGGCTTCGCTCGACATTGCGACAGCGAGAAGAGAATAAAGAGGAGGATGATTGTGTGTGATTGTGTGTACTTTAAGACAAAATAAGTCAATGGATCTATAAATCCTTATCTCTCTCTCTCTCGAAAAGTCTTTAATGTTTTCGCTTAATACAAAAGTGTTCATAAACCGGTGTTGTTTAGTCGTTACATTGGAATTTCTGACACAATTACAATACAACTTGAGCATGATATCAACAAAAGGGCAGACAAACAGACAACATTTTGCAAATACACAGCTGTATACTTCCTTAAAATAATACAACTCCAGTAGAACCTCATTACTTATGAAGACATTTATTCACGTTGTCCATTGTTTGGCTTAACTTGCACAAAACAATAGTGATTGCACGGATAGTGCTCGTTGTTTGGTTAGCTTCTTAACGTTTTAATGCATTACATGAGTTTTGCATACTATATATATATAAACATATGTATATATACATATGTATATATTTAAATTTACTTTTGTACGGGAAACACGAAAACAAACCAAAGTCGGGAGCCAACTGCAGAGTTGAAAGTAAGAAGACAGAAAATAGGAATAAGAGAACAAGACATTAGAGGTTATTTCGCTTTGTTTTACGTAAGTGCTATTTAGCAGACCCAGCACTTGAAAGGAAATTTTAGTTTGTTGGCATTTTTATATCAACAGTGAGCAGATGCATGATTTACTCCTGAAAGTTTCTCTTACATATTGGGCCGTGGCCTGATAAGTTAATGCAGATGTGAGTCGACTTAAGCAGCTCATATGATAGTTACGTAATTTGCCTTTGTAAGAAAATATGTGCATGCAATGCTTGCGCTTCAAAGTTGTCCTGGCAGTGTGTATACGCTTTCTCAGACTAGAACACAAAACAAACATGAGAGGAAAAACAAATGCAGAAAACAAAAGTACGTTAAAGTTTTGCAAATCATGAAATTTTCGTGCATCAAGATTCGAATTCAGTGCTCCTAGAAACCCATGAAGTTTTCCTAAGCGCAACTGAAAGAATAATGAAAATGTCAAAAAGTTGCTTATAACAGCAGTTCTTCAAGCTGACCAACTTAAGATACCTATACTTTTATTTAATTAAATGTTCAAATTCACAATATTTTTGATGGATTCACTTTTTAAGTGCTAACTCTCTGTGGCTGTTGAAGCATTTTTGCATTCTGTTATGATCTTGTTGTTGTTTTTCTTACTAATGGTTATTTAGCTTTTTTATTTCTCATATCTCATGTCTTAATAGAATCATTTCTCCATCGGTGCCATATCATAGCCATATGCATATATACGCTTATTGGCTTATTTGAAAGCATTATTAGAATTATTAGACCACTATTTGGCTTCTCGTTCTCAAAGCTCATACAGCAGACTTTTACTTTTAATAAAAACATGAACCTAAAGAAATGGCTGACTTTCCACATGAAACATAGCCTATTAGAATAGAAGAACAGGAGACTTATCGCCTTCAATTTGTCACTTTGTCGACCTCGAATGCGTACCGGCTTGGTATTCGTTTCTCTCTGTTATATTAATGTCTCGTCTATTAAAATCTCCTTTGAAATTATGTGGAATGCATTGTTTTATTGTTGTTGTACCACTTGTGGTACAAGGGTATATTAAGTTTGTGCGGATGTATGCAACACCCAGAACAACTTGAGATAGGCTTATCTTTTATTATATCAATCGACATTTTTGATCACTGCCTTATTTTCAAAAGTCGATATATGAATAAGTGTAGAGTGATGTAGAGTATTTATTGGTGCGCCTTGCCCCATTATAGTGTTTCACGCTTGTTTTTAAAATCTTTTTGCTTCAAGTTATAGTAAACTCATTCATTCTATTGTTATTATTTCTTAAATTTATTGCGAAATGTACCCTTCCATAAAATTTATGAAAATATCGCAGTGGAAGTTATTAACTCTCTTCAATTTGCTTTGAAGAAAAAATAAAAACGAGTTGTTTCTCTCATTTCAAAGTTTGTTGCTTGCAAATTATTCAACATAAACTTTTTAATTAACTTATTTAATAATGAAATGTTGTTATAAAATATTAAATGTTTTCACTAAAGGGATCAAAGGATTTTCTATGTTAATAACCTGTACACATACGTAAAAACTAAATGGATTGCGGCGTAATTATGTT